AATATAGTATATTGTATATAGTATACTCTTTATTATAGGTATATTGTATTATATAAATTCAATTTTTTTTTTCTAATTTGATCTAAATTTGGAATATTACTCGTTCATTTTGTTCACTTTGTCTCCTGTTTTTAGTGATACTCTTAGTGTTGAAGTTTAAAAGTTTAAATCAAATGTACGAAAATTGTGCAAAAAGATTTTTTAGCTAGATTTTGTGTTATTTTGTCCTTTACGTTTTTTCGTCGCGCTTAAGTATTGGTCGCTTTTCACATGGCTCCCCAAAATCCAAAGGATTCGGAGTACCAGAGGTCGACAATTGATATTAAAGAGTGCAGACACTCAAAAACCCAATTGTCTCATTCTGTCCATAGTTAAGAACTTGATGCAATGAAATTTTCTTTTAGACAGGACACGAAATTTGTGAAATTATGATCTAAAAAATGAGTTAGTTCTTCTTGCAAAATAATTTATTTTGTACCTTTATCATCATTATTGTAGTTTTACCTGCATTAAATGTTTTAACCTTGAAACTAGTTTGTAAACTTGTGAAAATAATTTTATATTTCTAAGATCTCAACAATTTCGTAGCACTTAAATTCGGAAAATGTAAATAATAAAATGTTTAATAATAAAAAAACGTTTATTTATGGAACAATTTTCACAAAGCGGGTTAGCTCTTAATAGAAAAATTTTATTGTGTCGCAATTCATTAGAAAAAAGTAACTAGGATTTTTGAGGTAACAAATTATTTTAAAATTTTGTTGTTTTGTTCTCGCCAGTGAGCGATATTTTTGAAAATTCGAATTAACATTAATTAATTAAGAGGCTATTGACTATGACTAAAAAAATCATCAGCCATTGGATAAAGTCATATGTTTTGATTCAAAATAACATTTATTTGTTTTATTTTTATTTTCTTTTATTTTCTAAATATTTGCTTAAAATACGAAAAATCAATCCTATTTTGTCAAGTGTTCTCCGCTAAAGCCTTAAGCTTGCCATACTTAACTGAACACCCATCTTCAGATAACATCACACGACGCTGCAGAAAAAAGTTATTTGTCGAAGACGAGAACAGTAAATCTTTGCGGTATTCGTCGACCGATGGCATTTTTTTTCATATCAGCAGTCTTCTAGGTCTATCCTTACACAACGAAGACCACGTGACACTGCAGGATTGACTCGATCAATTCCAGAAAACAATTAGCGGCGAGATTAATTGTTGCGCTAGCGCTAGGCGCAGTTCTCTGGTATCAATGGACGTGCAAAGGTTGTCTAATTCGATAAATTCCCTGAGAAATTTCTATCGTTGCGTGCATTCTAACCATCTCTTCAACTCTGAGAGTAGGAAGCGCAAACTGCGATGCACACATAAATTGTGCCTATTATTTTATTATTTACTTTATTTAACTAGTGTAATATTAAATTAAGCAACTCTAACAATAGACACATAAATAAATGTGGAAATAAAAATAATTACTCTAATATATGATCACCTGAGTATAAAAATAGTCTGTAGGTAGGCGCTCCAGTTGTTGAATACAGAATGATTTTTTTTTATCATTCAAGAAATTTGTTTCCTTTTATCCATTGCTACAATAAAATAAAAATCGGAAACACAAAAACCATGACTTCACAAAATTTTACAAATTGCTAGGAAATCATATTGCACCAAAAAAATTGTGACCCTCTAAAGAATTTTCCGAATTTTACAAAAAAATAGTTATTTACATATGTTTGTAAAGCATTTTATTTTTTATCGGTTTAATGCTTATTGCCTTATTCTTGGTTCTAAATATTAGGAAAAATACTTCCCTGGGATGTTATTAGAAAGCGTCACATTTAAAAGCAATTCGATGAATTGGACGCCTAGTTTACGAAAGAGGAAATGCGATAACAGGGTTTTTGGCAATCAAAATATTATTCAATTTCAGAAACGCAGATTGAGTTTGGAAAAAAAGATGTTAATGTCAGCATTTTTTAACTGAAAAGTCAAGATTTCCAATGGTTATTTACAGTACAAAGATATACCATCTATCCAATGGGGGGTAAAAATTTAAAATACATTTACGATAATACCTTTAAGCTTCTAGTCTCTATAGATTACTATTGTTGTAAGTGTATATATTATTTTTCAGTGTCTTTTTTCTGTTCGCTCTGTATTTTTTCTATCGGGGTTGATCTCAATTATTGAAACAGTAAAGAAAATTGTTTATTTTTTCTGCAAAGTTTTTTTGTACATCCATTTTTTGGCTTCCCTCTTCTCCAGACAGATTCAAGGCAAGTTGTGTATACATGTTTTTTCGCATATTTTCCTGGAAACCACGGTGAAACGCCCAGATTTTCGTGGTGGTCTCAGTCGTCAACCGCTAAAACATACGGACTCGTCGACGACATATGTTATCCTTAACTTTTCGTCACTGGTAACTAAATCCACACGGCGACCAGGCCTTATACAACGATCTCAAAATCCATCCATTAAAGACTTTTTTGCGTGCTTCCTTCTTGGAAGAACGCCGAGAATAGTTGCGGTCGGGTCCGTTGGTTTATCTGGTCACGTGTCCGCATATGGGCAATGGTTGCATATATATATTTAATGCAGTCGGCCTCTGCGATTTGTAGTGTTGCCGCCGCTTATTCATGAATACTGCATGGGCATTTTTTAAACCATGGAATAACGTTGAACGTTTTTATGTACTTACCTTCTGAGTTTTTTTTCATAAAGTGCAGCACACTAGGAATGGGTAAACGAAAACTGTTTATATTTTATCCGCCGACGCCTCGTTTTTGGCAAGGATTTTGTATAATTATTGAATAATTTTGCAATGCCTACCAAAGTGCATTATTTTTTGTTTTTGTGTTTTTTTATCGTTAAGTTTGTTAAATAGCAACTGTTTTCAAAAGTAGACATTTTGTATGTGTTAATTTAATTTTTTCCATTATAGATACAGGATACAGGACCGGACGACGTTTGTTTCGATCTTCTTTATCTCTTTAAAATGAAAGTAATTAAAAATATCCGAAAACCATAAAACCCAAACGAAAAATATATGTCTTCTGGAATACCAGGCTTTTTTAACAAGTGACAGCTAATTTTTAAATGTTTTGTCTATCAAAAAAATTAATTTATTTTTTTGTTGCCGCTTGAAATATATTCCGAAGTTTCTATTTTATTTTTATTTCGTTATTCCTAATGTTATACTATGATTAAATTACTTTTTGGGTTCTCCTAGACTTTAATCTGATACTGATGCCTATTATATTTGAACTGCTATTATTTTTTAGCAAGCTAACCAAAACTAAATTGTGTGAGTGCATTGCAAACGGGTAATTTTGAAGAAATTTTTGAAAATAATATATAAACACACACAAAAATTAGGTTGGACAAAACCCTTTGGTTAGAATATGTGTTTCACGTCGTTGGAAAGGTATCATATATATTTTTTAAGAAATTTAAGGGATATTAGCATATTTAAAGACGACCAAATTTATTTGGATACAAACCTTGGGACAGAATATGATTTGTGCCACTTCATTGAAAAGGTTATTTTCTGCAGTTAAAAAATACTGGAGTGTTTTGTAAGAAATTTTAATTTTTTATCGGTAACTCGTAAATGGGACATTCTGTATAAAAACTTTTTACATTTTTTAATTCACATAGAAAGTTGCTTTGGAAATGTTTTTCAGGTTACAAAGTTTTGATTAGTTTTTCGTTTCAACCGGTGCCTCACTTTTTCGTCCGCATAAAAAATTAAATAACGTAGTCAACAATCGTTCGTCAAACAAAAATGATAAATAACTCGCGTCTCAGCGAACATAAGTAACGGAGACAATGCGTTAATGATAAAAAGGTAGTGAAAGCGGCATCATATACCCACATGGCAATAAAATGGAGATAACAACATACCAGAATGTGGGTGTCTGGGAAACGAACGCAAAGAATTTACTTACATAATCATCGTGAATAAGGTCTATGTTACTGGAACACTCATTGTCAAGGTGTTCTTCATTACACACCGGCTGCGCGATGGGTGATTTATACGGGACATAATTTTTTTAATTGATTCATTTCTTTACGTTTCTTTAACATTTTATTCGGGTAGCGAAATGTGATTTATTTTAGATCGTTTATTAAGTTTTATTTAAAAAATTGAGGTTTTTGAATATTGAAAGATGAATCCAAAAATATAACTCCTAACATAGACCAGTGGAGCACTATTTTATTTACAAAGAATTATCTAAATTCCATGGAAATTATTTGGAAAATAATATATCGAATAATTTAAAATTGTTTTGCATGTTTAAAAAGCATCGTGCCTTTTAAAGAAGCGTTCGAGCTAAAATTAAATAGGAAAGACGCCTCATAATATTCATCAAAGCTTTAATTCTTTATCAACACTTGCGAATCACTCGGTATATTATTTAATATAAACAAAGCTGGATGAATGACTTTCGGATACCGCATTTTTATTTTTGTCATTTACATAGCAATAATTTGGAAAAGATATTTGATATAATCTATGTAGAACCGATAAATAATAGTTCTTGGAAACTGATTTATTGATTTAAGATTCCGGTACATTTACGGACAACTTAATTATACTCCTTGTGCCACTTTTCATTTGAACTCTTTGTTTCAATATACATATTTATTGATATTTCTAGTGTCTTATAAACACAAATTCTACGTGATTTTTGGTAAAAAGCTCATAGAAATATTGAAGAAGAGTGGCGAGCGTCTTACCCTTTGACCTCCAATTTTTTGTGAGGGACGCCTATGGACTTCAATTTTATTTTGCGATTTCTTAACAATTATAAGATCAATGGATAGAAACATCAGAAATTTACTATAATTTATAAATTAATTATAATTTACACAAGAGCTTAATAATATATTTTGTATTTGATTTGCTGTAACCGAAATTAATAAGATTGCGGTTAAGAATTTTTACGGAAAATAGATTTATGTCGTCTACTAAATTGTTTTTATTTTGTTCCAGGACGCGCCATGAAGGCGTGGACTCAACTTCTCGAGCCAGGCGCTCTAGGCGCGATTTGTTTGGCTCTAACACTGTTAACCGTTAACGCTGGTAAGTGTCTTCGAAAATAATGTGATAAACGTTGTAGCGCTTGAAAATACAACTATTTAAAAAAGCGAAAATTTCTGGTGCCAAAATCCAAATATGGACTTAAACTGATAATTCTGACGACACGGAGCAAAAAAAAAATAGAAATTTGCCGCCAAAATTACTTTAATCTTTTTCCCAGACGGTTTCAATATATTCGTTCTAAAAATGGCTTCAGTGTAAACGTTTACGTGATTAGGGATCTCTATTTTTAACCTAGATCAACCCACAAAGCCAATTAAAAATTCCGGGCCATCGTCGCTTGACCAGCGAAGTCCAGGTCAGTTCCTGCAAAATCTAGAATACGAAACAGCGTTAACAAAACCAACCGGAACACAAATGCAAAACGATCTTTGAGTCAGAGCCGATTTCAAAACAACAAACTATTAAAATCAAGGCTGGCGTCTGTTAAAAATCCTTTTGTAAACCAGACCGCGCGTTAATTTTTGAGGTTAGTTGGTTGGCTATGAATACCGGGCGGCTCGATAAAAACCGATATCATAAGATAATGCAGTGCCACTGTAAATAGAAATTTTCTCTCACGGCTCTAAGAAAATTTCTTACCACTGCACATTATATAGTACAGTTTTGCTTGATAGTTGACTTACATTTTTTGGATCGTATTCGATTAAACCATCTTCTAATTATTGTAACGTTTTCTTGGTCAGAGTTTCGATGACCGCTCGTGTTGTATTGAGTGCTTTCGTATTTTCCATGTAAAACGTTGTCCGAGAATAAATGATTTTTACTGATGTTATTTGGATGCAGATTTAGAAATTTTTCTAGGGAATCACCAACAAATTTCTAATTTAAAATCTTCATTATCGAAATAATTTTTGGAATAAAATTTAATAAAATTACATTAGTTTTTATCCAAGAATTTAATCATCATTTGATGTTCCTACATGATCTTTGAAAGTAAACACCTTAAGTTTAGAGGTTATCAAGCACTTTTTGTAGAATTAACCATATATTTAAACCCATAAGGATATTCATGCTATTCATAAAGTTCTAAAGAGTTTATAGCTACTAGATTTATAGATGCGATATCTATGCTAATAATACAAAATGTGTTGAAACCTCCAACAAGAAATGTTCAGAAGAGTCATTCAATGTGCGCATGTGCAAATATCGTTTTGGACCAATAAGACAAAACGGCATTTAAAAACCAAAATGGCCGCTGACAATTCGCCAATTTGGCAGTTTTCAGTTAGTAACATTTTTACAACAGTATGTTATATGCCCAGATAGCGTTAAACGTTCAGAGAAAAACGAGCTAAGGGTGGAGTGGTCATTGTTTAGCAGGCTAGTGTTCCCTTCTATAAGAAAACATCAAACCAAAACTCGAGGAGTATCAATTTTTACCGTGCTTGCGGCCACTATATAATTGCGTACTAAGATGCTAAAATTTTTGTTTTATTAACTTAATAAACTAAATTATTTCAGCAATGTAGCCACATTTTTTGCTGTTTTGTTTTGTGTAATAATTGATGGTGAAATATCAATTTTTGCACTAGTGGAAGTCAGTTTTCGCGAGACACGGTGTATCGTCAGCCATGTGAACCAGTAAATTACGCCCGGTAGACACAATGCAACAGATGTAATACACACAAAGTATCGACGGCGTCGAGTGAATTGCTGATCAAATAAGACACACATGTCGTGAATGTTAATAACAAATTGTTTTAGGAATCGCCCGCGCATAACTCTTTCATTGATGGATGGACGGATTCATTGAGTTGCCGTTTCGCTAAGTGCATCGTTTTTGACGTGTCTTGCGGCTATTTTTACTTTACGCGGAATACCGGACCCTACGCGTTGCAGTTTCATGCATTATTTATTATATTCGGAAAACCTTTCGCCTGTTGCTAAGCGATATTAAATTGTCGATGTACGTTTTGTTGTGATCTGACATTATATCCAAAAGCCAAAGGACCATATAACGTCCACCAATTCAAAAATTATTTTATCGCCATGAGTATGGGCGAGTGCCCTGTATCGTTTTGCCCATAGGCATATCGTCTTTTATATTTACATGAATGAAGCAGTCTCGCACATGATGCGCCTGACAAATTTAAAATAACATTTCAAGAAGAATATAACCATTTTTCTTTTAATAATCTCAACACATGAGTTACAAATACTAGCCAGTGTTGTTTATGAAATGGTGTGATAAATTTTGGCCTATATTGTCATTGGTTGACCCACACATCTCTTCAGATTTATATACTAATTATTTTTTTAAATCTATTTTCTCAGATTATGGGGGTGACGATTTTCCGAAGGTGGCTCTAAAATTAAAAAAAAAACTAACATTAGATTAACAGTAAAACGCAAATTTCGCATTTCTAAGGCTATCCCTGTAAGTAAAATTAAAATTTCATAATAAATAATAACATGCAATAAAATTATAATGGTGGTACTACTGGTAGAGAAAGTTACATTCAAAATAATTGATTTTCCTGCCTCTAAAAAGTTGAAAAAAAAGCGTTTATTTATATTTATTTATAATTTAGTAGTATATATCAATGAATCAATTTGTTGTGGCGCGAACAAAAAAATAAGATATAACCATAGCCAATAAGAAGAAATCTGTCGATACTTCTTAAATGTTACTTTACCTCGTTGGTCTGAAATATGCTATTAAAATTTTATCGAAGACTGAGACTGACATCAATTGGCATTCGAAGCACTCTGTCCATAAAAACGAGACATTTTTTAAACTATTTTAAATATTTTGTGAATAAAGTTCAGAACAGGTTGATAGCAACTGGAAAATCCGATTCTCCGATAAATTTGCTTAAATTACCCGAAAAAGAAATTAATTCAGCAATTCAATCGACAGAACATTCATTCCACTGATTAATATTTATAAGAATTCAAATATTTTGACTCGAGATTAAATTTAGAACGATAAGGTATCTTTCCTTTGGTCGCGTTACTGGCAATACATTTTTGATATACGCTTCCGTCGCTAAAAAGCGTTCTGGAAGAACGAAAGACGAGGCGTTTTCGAAACCCGTTTCTCTATTTATCTGCTAGTTCTTAATCCTAATGATAATAATTGGTTTAAGCGCTTCCTCGCTCGTCTAACTGTACACTCTATTACAAACAATTAGACGCTCTTAACGCGGCATTTATGTAAAAAAATGCAGATTCGTTTTGAAGAAGATTAACAATCACTTACAAATGCGTCCTTTCGCTGCATACGTTTGAATTCATAAACGTCGATGATCACTAATGATTGACTTTTGTTACCGTTAGAATATGCACAGGGCCTGCGCACGCAAAATATTAGCGGCGGGGACAATTGAATCCGGCACTAAAGAAATAATGTAAACTAAAAAAAAGTAAAAAAAATGGATTCAGTTAGTGCCGCAGCGCCACCTATAATGTATACATAAAAACATAGTAAATATATCAAAATCAACAGTAAGAACTCTATGAGTAATTAGAGTCTCCAATAAAAAATCTTGTGCTACTGTTGTAAAAATACGACAGCACAATTGTTGTAATTGGATATCTTACTGTCACACTGAACATCGGGATACCTATCAATCACAACCGAACGTATATTTGAACGTATTAACATGACGGTGTCGACTTGCAGCTAATACTATCACTGAAAACATTATTTTCTGGTGGTTGAATTTATATAATTTGCAATACTCGTATTAAAATGACTCGAGAATCCAGCCTATCGCCGTCAAGATCCACTGGCACGACACTCATTTTATACGTTTGGAGCCTTTTTCTGGACAGTTGTAACGGGCATTTTTGCCATTTGTGCTTAGACCACGGCATTAAGGCATTAAATTATATGATGTCATTTCAATAACACCCTGTATTCTTCAAGTATTGCAGATTGGTCGTTTCATTAATCGTTAAGTGGACATCCTTGCCTTTAAGGCCTTAGCCGTAAAATCATCTCAACAAATTTTAAATACACTGTCATAGATTTGAATAGTTCAACTGTAATTTAATCGTAATTGTGTAAAATAATTGAAAGAGCTTTATGCGACTTGCAGAAAGCTTTATCAAAATTCCTAAATAGTTTCTGGACTGAACGTGAATTTTTATTTTTAATTAGAAGGGACATATGCAGGATATTTAAATTTAAACAATTGAAACGTTGCAATTGTAAATGAATTTAATCTTTTTCAAATTCTATACAAAAATTAAAATTTGATTTTTTATTTTAATTACGATTGAAATTTTATTTTTAGGCCAGATACCGATACGCTGATATCGCAGGATATGACTGACCTTGTAAATATATGCTTGATATATAAACAATTAATATACAATAATTGTAGATGGTAAAGTCATTTATAAGCTAATTTAAATTATTTTTTATTAGAATCTATTGCCCAGCAGTTTAGTTTTGGTCAGCTAGGCGAAAGAATTCGAAGCATCTCCTCGTAGTTTCTATCTTGCTTTGTTTAAATCTCCCAACATAATTAAAGCTGGTCGCTTAGTAATACCCAATCGGCATGTCCGCGTGCCTGCAAAATTCCTATTTCGTTTCCTCATTTCGTTCTGAAAATTGCCGGCACCAATCAAGCATTTTGTTCGTCTATCAGAAACATTGGCCCACAATAGACAATAACAATTAATTAACGAGCAGATAAAATTATCACAATGATACCAATTTTCCGCTATCCGTGGTCGTTCGTCCATCGATCCTCGAGAGTCGTGCACCCGTAATAAGCAAACCAGCAACAACGGCAGACGGTGTTTAATGCCGTATTACTTCAAGGTTTTGTCTGTACGCGAACGAAAGTTAGACGTCAGTGTCTTGAGGAGTCAAGTGCACCAGTCAGAAGTTCATTAACTTCTCATTTCATTATGAAACGCAATGATTTGTGAAGGTAGGCACAAAAAGAAGGCTCACGCACACTCTCGCGCGTTCGCGGCAAGATGCGCGGAACGATCTTTTACAGATTTTGCTTTCAAATGGTCTC